TTAAACAGGATTTGAAGTATTAGCATTTCCTTGCAATCAGTTTGCCAGTCAGGAGCCAGGAACCATTGAAGAAATTAAGGAGACTGCCTGCACAGTGTTCAAAGCTGAGTTTCCTATATTTGATAAGGTAATTGCTCTATGGCAAAGAATACTCTCATGCAGAAGGGATCGCTAATTTCTTTAATACATTTTACTTTTCCCCCATTTTTTTTCGACTCTACAGAATCCGCAAAATAATATCTTAAGCTACAACTTGTTTGTCTCTATCTCAAAGATTTTTTTGTAGAAACACAGCTGGAACCTTTTTTTTTTTAATTATTGCAAGGTTATTGCTTGACAAAAACCGTAATCCTCTTTCTGTCGGCCTATATGCTAGCAACCTTAGCCTGCTTAAGTCTCGAGAAGTGTACAAGAATGTCTTCGACCTGCTCTGCTCTCACCTGCTTGCTTGGTAGTGTCTTTAGAAGCCATATGCTTATTTGGCAACCAGCTCACAAGAAAAGTGAGCTGGTTGCCCAAAAAGGAAGATGAAACAGAGAAATAGAACTATGATGCATATTTTAGGGCTTTCAAGTCTTTTTTAGAATGATTGAGTATCTTCATCTAAATTCACAAAAATAAGGCAAAGAAACAGATAAAAGTTCTACATAACCACAAAATGAATATAATGACAGATAATAATTATATGCTGTTATGAAATTTCACAAATGTAGAGTAACTTTGGCATCTTGCTCATGTAATTCCAGATTGAAGTGAATGGCAACAATGCAGCAACTCTGTACAAGTTCTTGAAATCAAAGAAAGGTGGGTTCCCAGGGTCTCGCATCAAGTGGAACTTCACAAAGTTTCTCGTGGACAAAGATGGGAATGTCATTGATAGATATTCACCGACGACATCACCCTTAAAAATCGAGGTTCTACTTTCTGCTAGCTGCCATTTACTTTCAACTTTGTATCTGCAACAAGCTTCCCATCACCACAATTGCTCTTCATGCAGAAGGACATTCAGAAGCTGTTGGCAACTTCATGATCGCGTGTAGATGTGCTGATCGAACTATTGTTAATGCATGATTCTAGTTGGAAATTGCATTAGGTCATTTTGCGACTGTTACTATGTGAAGAAAGTTATCATGATCTATTGCTTCGTGGAAGCATATGTGACAATTTAGAAATAGTCTCAAATACTAATTGGACCGGTACATATGTATTTAAGGGTTCTAATAGAGAACAATATTGAACATTCATTTGTATGATTTTTCAGTGTTGATAATCATGGATTTGTATGATTATTTATTTATATCTTTCATTCATTTGTATGATTTTTCAGTGTCGATAATCATAGATTTGTATGATTATTTATTTATTTATATCTTTTACTAATTTATTCATCAAAATTGATACCCAATCGATAGTTAAATCCTTCGTTGTACTAAACTCTATCAATTGCTAAACTTGTAATTATAACTCATCATATGGAATATTAATTACATAAATATAATTTATATGGGAGAAAATTTTAATGGTAGCATGAAATTATATAAAAAGAATTATTTGAATAACCAAATAACGTAGCAACTAATTTCTTTTCCCTCTTAATCTCCATATTTAGCCGACAACGAAGTGATAGATCTTTCATCCTCCATAGCTCTATCCGAGCGCAGCAAATCCGACGTCTACACTCGAAACGACGACGAATCCAATCGACCTGTCCCCTCTCGCGATCCCGGCTTCGATCTCCTCCATCCGCCCCCCCAAATCCGATCCCGTTCTCCCTCTTGTTTCGATCGATTCCCGCCGCACGATGGCTCGCTACGGCGGATTTTAGGGTTTGCGGGGCGCGGAAGTTGGGACCCGGGCGGTGGGGATGGATTCCGATGAGGACATGCATGACGCGGTAGATCTCGAGTCGGTGGACGACGATTTCTACAGCGGGGAGACGGGGATGGACGGCGAGGACGGCGGTGCTGACTATAATTTCGTTGACCACGTGTTGGATGATTCCGAGGACATCACCTCGCGTCGCCAGCAGGTGATGGGATGGGAAGACGCTTGGTTCTTTTGCTTCATTCCCTTTTTAGTGTCGTCGCTTAGTTGATTTTGGTGGTGATGCTGGTGGAAATCTTTGAGCCGAATTTGATGCGTGTAGGAACTGAATTGGCTGCTTTTGTGTGTTTTTATGGTAACGACAAGATCTTGTGCTGGTAAGGATTGGATTGGTGGCACGATCATAGTCTGGCCTAGGAATTGGTTAGTGTTACATGCCTATTGTAGGATTGTTCGTTTGGTGTCAGAAGGAAATATGCTTTACTCTTCTTTTCTTATTTATATGTGAGATGATTATGGTACAAACAATTTTGTTTCCTTTAATGCTGCATGGTTTTAAACATTTCACAGAGACATTCGTGTAAATATTGTATTATTGATATATCAGGTTAATGGGAATCATAGTGATCATGGCGTAACTTGTGTGTGTGTTTGTTTTTGCTCTGAAGTTTATCAGCATTAAACATGTGATACTCTTGTTCCTTAATATTTTGTGTTCTATTTATATTGTATTCGCTCTACTCTTTCTGTTCCAGTATCATGCAAGAGATGTATCCTTGTAAATGTGAAAAATCTATAACCTTAGATACTATAGTGGGTCAGACTTTTATCATTTCATCAGTTTAGTTCAAAAATGACTTGTGTGGTTTGCTTTCAAGCATCACTTCACGTGGATGGTGGATTGTCTTTTGTTCAATGAGCGATTGTATTTCAAGTATAATAAAACACGTTGATACCATTGCTTCAAAATGCATCCAATCATATATTTACTGGGACCACCAACCTCCCTGGAACTGTAATTTGGGCTTTGGGTTCCAATTCATGGATTTTTATTTTTTCTTCTTGGATTCTGTTGTACAGGATCCAGAAGTTAATGAACGAATTTTATCAATGCCATTTAGGTTTGTAAATACCTATGAAGCATGGACATAAGGGAGACAGACACTGCTCTGTACAAATATGCCTATATGACAAATCTTATAAACGGAAGCACAACACAGTCAATAGGGTAATTGTACACTAATGTTTTCGTTTGATACTGTGATTTAATACTTTATATAATATAAACAGTATGATTATGAATCATGATGTACAAAATTTATAAGAATCTAAAAAAATTACTAATTCTAGTAGCTAGTGGCCAGATGTTGGATTAGAATGTACCACGTATTGAGTGATATGCTACCCTGATCCTTCCTACATTAATGGAAAGAATAATAGAAAAAAATAAAATCAAGAGAAAATGTGAAATAGGTGACCTACAGTGGATAAATGTCTCTTCCTCATCTTTTTCCTTCATTGCTTAGGGGGGAGAGTTTGGACCTGAAATTGTATGCCAGAGACAAAGAAGAAGGGCCTTTGGACAAGACTGTCCAGTAATATAAAGCTTGAAATTGGCTGGTAAATGATGGTCTACTGTCTACTGGTTGGATTGATAGGAACCTTGCAGAATGGTGTTTTAAAACCTTTCTTGAAGCTATATATATATATATATATATATATATATATATATATATGTTAACTAAGGAGTTATAAAAAATCTAAATCATGGTTTCATAGACTGGTTGGTCCGGTACATATTACTATGTATACCAGTCTGACCAAGGATCATTACCAGGCCGTATAACTGGGTACTGGTTGATATGCCAAACCAGAATTTTAGCTGTCTGACAAATTGCTGTAATAGTCTGGGACTTGAAAAAGTTGTGTGTTTATGTTAATATTGCATAATGATGTAACATTCGGCTAATGTGAGGTGTTCATACGATGGTATATAATTATTAAGGTCACATTGGCTTATGTGAGGCATTCATATGACCATATGCGCATACATGGCTGCACAAACTGCTTTTTAGATCACATATTTTCCTTTGGTAATGTGTGCTGGAATAAATGATTCTCAGTAAATCTTTAGAAGTTTCAGAAGGTAATGCATTATAATTCATCATCTAATGCTGTTCTGCAATTTTCTGTATTCAGCAGAACTGTATCATATTGAGTGAGACTGATATTCGGCAGCTTCAGGAGGAAGATATCAATAGAGTATCTACTGTACTTTCAATACCAAGATATGCAGCATGCATTCTTCTTCGTCATTGTAATTGGTAAGGCAGTTTACTTCTGAAGTGGAGTTTCCTGTGCTTATGCTGTTCAAATATTTTCATACATTGCAGGCTCTCATATATTTTTATTGCCATTACTCTAGACTTTGGAGTACAGTAGAACTATGAACATGCATGAATGGAACTGTTAAACTATATGTTCCTTTTGTATTGCTCCAAGTTCTATGTTACTTCTCTGGTATTTGATACTGGAATTATTGCTGAACTGTATTGTTCTGTGCTGCATTATGTTGGGCAATCTTTTTTATTCATATTTGTTCATTGCCTCTATTGATTTCTGGATTTCACACTGGATGACAATATAACTATACGCCCAATATATCTCAGTGTATGCCTGCAGAGGCTGGTACATGGTAATCTTTTGTTTGACTCAAGAACAGTTGGTATATTTTCGAATTTCCAGTAGTTTGAGCTTGTTTATTAAATTGAGATGATATTGAGGTTGCAATAGAATATTGATATGAAAATCTATTAAGGATGTTCTCACTGATTCTTTACAGGAACTATGACAAAATTGGTGATGTCCACGGAAGCAGTGATTTTGACAAGTGCACTTATTGCAGTTACTGCTAAGCTGCAACATGTTTTGCCTGATTGTGTCCATTCGTTCATGTGACACAAATAACATTAACATAAATAAGTTTTTCTGAAACAAATTCGAGTTTAAGTCAACATTTTGTCGATCTGTAATAGTGATTACTCCAAACAGGTTCTCGCGCTATGATATGATTCTATTCGCTCTATTTATTATTTAGAATAATTAAGTTTATGATTCTGTTTGATCTATCTATTAGTTAAGAGTAATTAAATTTATATAATATTCCAGGTCAAGTTTTGGTTTGATGTTTCCTAATCTCATGCAATATCTTAATAGGTTATTATTCTGCATTGTAATTTGGATGTGTGCAGTATAGTGAAAACAAATAGTCAAGCTGTATGAACCTAATTAAATATCACATGATATAGGCAAAATATACAAAGATTCATCTTTAAGAAATGGTCCAGAGTAAAATGAGGTTTTACAGGAATTAAGGTCTGAATTTCATAAGTGTTGGTATATGTTCAGTGGTTATGGGATTCAGTGCTTTATCCAAGTCATTCATTTATCTTTATGATCATAATTGTTTCTGTTCAGTACACTCTCTTGGCTTCTCCTCATTTATCATCTGTCTTTTATCTCCTGCCACATAATTATCATGACAAAATTGCATAATAGAATCAAGAAATCAATCTTATGTAGTGTTAATATTAAGGGGATTGCTAGATTACAAAACAAGGTATAAAAATCTACCATATAAAATTTTAAAGAAAATTTGTTTGTGCATAATCTAATGCTCTCTGGTTGATCGTAATGCTTTACTGCAAACTTGCAAAGAAGGATCTATGGTATCTTAATTATGATGTTATTTATTTTTTTGCAGAATTTGTTGCTCTATTTGTCTGTTTTGGCACCAATCACGTCATTCATGCACTAGTTATTTAAAAATTTGTTTATTTAACATTGTTTTCCACTACCAGTGACCTCTTTCTTATCCTTGTGGTGATGATTTGATTTATATATTTGATTGAGTGTGCAGGAGTATTAGTAGGGTGCATGATGAGTGGTTTGCAGATGAAGAGCATGTTCGGAAGGCTGTTGGTTTGTTGGAGACAGTGGTGAAAATGCGAAATGGTAGAGAAGTAAGTCAGTTTTGTATTAGTAATCCCTTTTTTGGGTGATTTTGGGAGGTGGAGTTATTGTTTTCTTAATTTTGATTAATTTATCTTGTGGTCTAACTTTGTTTGTGGCAGCTAAATTGTGGGATTTGTTTTGATAACTATCCTCGTGACATGATGAGTTCTGCATCATGTGGTCATCCTTTTTGTGGGGCTTGTTGGAGAGGTTTGTTATTTTGATTTCAACTGTTATCATAACTTTATAAACAATTCATGTGGTGTTTGATGGGACTGGCTTTGCCTCACTTAGCAGTTGGCAAATATGTTTTTGTGACAAATGATTGAGAAGTGTGATTTTCCGATCTTAGTGTCCTCTTGATAGTGAACTGGTTTTCTGCCTTTTCAAGGACTGCATCTTCTATAATACATTTTTGATAGCTTCTTTAAGCCTAATTCTGTCAGACCTTTTTCTGCATTGTAAGTTGATCAATTATACTTAAAGAATCATAGATCTGCACTATCTCCGTTTGTTCTGGAATCTTACCTTATGACAGAACACTGGCTTAGAGGCTTTTTGAAGCTTAGATACTTCATTGTGATTCATTCTTGATTCAAGTTTTGAAGGATGATTATGTTCTTTTCGCAGGTTACATTAGTACATCTATTAGTGATGGCCCGGGATGCTTAATGTTGCGATGCCCTGATCCTTCTTGTGGTGCTGCTGTTGGACAAAATATGATTGATGTATTGACTACTGATGAGGATAAAGAAAAGTACTCACGTTATCTTCTTAGATCTTATGTTGAAGATAATAAAAAGGTTTGTGTGGGACTTATGATTTGAGGTTTATTGAATCATATTTAGTTTCATTTCTTTCTTGTATAGTTAATGTCTGCAACTTTAAGTAGAAAGACTAGTGTAGCTGTCTGTCTACTAGTTGTTTTTTTTTTATTTTAATTTCTTTATTTTCTTCTTTAGATGAAATGGTGTCCTGCCCCTGGTTGTGAGTTTGCTGTGGAATTTGTTATGGGCAGTGGAAGTTATGATGTTTGTTGCAGCTGTTCATATAACTTTTGTTGGAATGTGAGTATATCTTGAGGAACAATGAATCCTAATATAATTATGCTTATTTCAATCCATACTCTAAGTTGTTCAATAAAAAATTTTTGCAGTGTACTGAGGAAGCTCATAGGCCAGTTGATTGTGTTACAGTAGCAAAGTGGATTCTGAAGAACTGTGCTGAATCTGAAAATATGAACTGGTACAGTATAAGATGGATAATTGTCATTTCGTATATGTTACTTTTACTGCTAACTCTGTAGCTGTGGAACTCGTCTTATTTTAGTTCGTAGATTTCAGTTTCTTGAACTTAAACCTTGGATTTAGTCTAATATTGGTTATGCATTTAAGCATCCACTGCTAATGTAGATACACAACTAATGCATGCTTTATAGGTTTTAATACACATTTTCTTGTAACCTGAAATGACGTGATTTAGGAAACTGGCATGATCAAGAGAGCATTTTTTGAAGTTTTTAGCAATTATAGGAATATTGTTAATCAAGCCCTGTGAGTCTTATGCTTCACAGGACTATTTTAATGGAGAAAATCTTATGTCCTATTTGGTAGCATTTGTTTCCTTTTCAATAGTTATAGTTCTGCAACATTTTAGCTTCAGATTACTGATGTTAGTTCAGGACTAATGCTGAAGCTTTGCATTTGTGTATTATTTCAAGTTTCCAAAATAGGATTTTATATGACATCTTGATAAATTGTCTTCACCTCTAAATCTAGATTTTCTAATAAATTGTGAAGGCCAAATTGGTATGTTGTGTTCTCTCTTTTTTAACAAATAAAGATTTTCTTCATTTGTTCTGAAATTATTTGGATTTGATGGTTATCGAAGATGATGTTGCATGGTTTTCGTGTTTAACTAAGAAATGTTGGCTTATGAAAATCTGTTATAGTTTATGTATAACATTGATCTTTTTTGGCTGTATCTCAGAAATAAGTCTGTTGTTTATGAACCCTATCAGAACTCTCATTATGACCATTCTATAGATTTCAGATTAGTTCCTCATATTCCCGAGGCCATTGGAATTACACAGAAGTATTGAAGTTTTAATGATAATGAACATAATCATGTGCTAATCATATTTCTTTGACTTTATGTCCAGGATATTAGCCAACTCAAAACCTTGTCCAAGGTGCAAACGTCCAATTGAGAAAAACCAAGGATGCATGCATATAACATGCACACCTCCTTGTAAATTTGAATTTTGCTGGTATTAGATCTTTACTTTATTAATATTCTTTAGAGATTTTTTTTCTAATTTCTGCAACTTTTGTGTTCCTTGATTGTTCTTGCAGGTTATGTCTTGGACGATGGTCAGAACATGGTGAGAGAACAGGTGGTTTCTATGCTTGTAATCGCTATGAAGCAGGAAAACAGGAAGGAGCGGTATGATTAGATGTCTCTAATATTACAGAATGTGAAGGATTCTACAATGTTAATCCTCATACTTGTCCTTTGTATCAATTTATAAATTCTGGCAGTATGATGAATCTGAAAGGCGGAGAGAAATGGCTAAAAACTCTCTTGAGAAATATACACATTATTACGAAAGATGGGCTACCAATCAATCGGTACGCAAATTCAACTCTTCCACCTGTTTCATCAGAATGGATTTTAGATTTGTTGTCTTTGTTGATAGGATCTATGAATCTCTGATACTGTAACGTTTTGTGCTTTGATTTTGGGGACCATACAGTGCTTATAAGTGGCTGATATTAGAAAGCTGCTTTCTGAAAGTCACTTTAAAAAGTAATGCTACTTAACCATGAAAACAGTAAAAAGGACAGCATTTAGTTCAATTCTTTCTGTGCTTGTGGTTGTTCAGGTGACCAGTGGATCATCGGTAGATTGATGATTGTTGGAGAACGCCTAGTTGTTGGGCTATCACTACTTGGTTGATTGCTGGCCATCTTGGGGGTTGACAGCAAGCTTGTTGGTTTTTGAAACTTTTTTTTGTTGGCTTTCACATAGTTGGGGAAAAAATTCCTGATTGACGTGATTGTTTGTTATGTCTGCTTATTTGGGATGCTTTATTTGTTTGCAGAATGGGCAATCTCGAAGTCATGTGTGTATGTTCATAAACACATGCATGCAGTATGCCTCATGCTGGATCATTATCCCAACAATGAGAGCCTCCAATTTCCTTCATTTCACTGTTAAGTCTGGCTCAAGGCCTGATAATCCGATCTAGAAGACATCCTATTGTATAAAGATAAAATTAAATGCGGTATTTTGACCTCAAAGCTGTTACGTCATCCAAACAAAATGGAAGGATGAAAAGGTGGGTTGGGTTGGTTCCTTTTGACATTCACTATATTTTAACTAGGCTCAACCCTAATCTGGCCAGGCATGAGGAGATCTAATTTGTTGTAATGAGATAGCCAATTACCGAAGTTATCTACACAAGAAGCTAATCTCTCAACTTAACAGTTTGTTTGAAAGTTATATGTGCTTTGCATGTTTGGTGTGTTTGGAAGGTTGAGGAAGATCTTTGGTTTCCAAGATGTGTTGTATCTGCTTAGTGCTTACTTTAGTTGCTTTATTTGTATCCTAATAAGTAGTGGTAGAATTTAGCAGTCTGTCAATTGTATGTATTTGAAAATTGAAATTCAGTGATTAGAGTTGATCCACAGCCAAATATTAATTTGTTCCGGAGGAGTAAATCTATCATTTTTTTCATTCTTTTACCACTTGATGTATAGGGAAATGAGTATGTTTATATTCTGAAGAATGGAGAACAACATAACTGAGCTGGGTCATTGATTTTAAACAATCCCCCATTTATTAGGCATATTAATCCCTGCCCCTTGTGCCCAAATGATTAAATTCTAACTGGACATGTACACGTATGGTTCTCTTCCTGCATACTTGCAGTCCTTGATGCATTCTTAAAGATTTGTCTTCGTTTATTTGACTTTCTTTTTTCTTCTTCTCAAGCAATCTTGTAACTAATGTGGAATTATGAAAGATGTAGTCACTTGACAACATATGACATTTATAAAATATCCCTAAATTAATAAAATTTTGTAAATTGGAAATACATTACAAATTGTTTCTTCTGTGTGTGAACTTTCTCTGAGTTCAAATGGTTGAAGCTTGATTTGACCTTAATGGAAGAACATCATTGTTAAACCAGAAGCTCCGATACTAATATGAAATAAGATAAATTCATAATGAGCAAAGAAAGATTTTGTTTTAAATTTGAGAATATAGGAAGGAAAAGAGAGAGGAAGGGAATGATAACAATCATTAAAGATAATAAGAGTATAAACATTGCAAGATACCCTATAAACTAAAAAGACAATATTCAAACAAGAAATAAAGAAATGTGTTCCCCTATCATATATATTCTAGTCAGCATATGCTGATTTGACCAGAATTTAATTCGTTGGTCTATAGACTTATCTCCAATATTCATCCAGCCTAGGAAGCTTTTCTTTGAGAATTTAAAATGGGATAGCCTTTTTACTTGTCTTTTGTTTTGGTTTCCTCTCATGTTATTGCAATTGTTATTAATAAATGTGTTTTCTCTCCATATGTTGAAGTTTTCATTTGCTGATGCTCCTGACGATTTACATTATTTTTTTCATTATTTTTTCTGAACATTGTAACTTTGGTTTCTTTCATAATTTTGTCTTGTTTGATGTATACATGTTTATTATATGATTGTTAGATAGGCGTATTCTTGTTCATTAGGATTATTTTATGTATCTCTCATCCATTTCACTAGTTACATTGGCTGTTCCTATAAGAAATTTGATATTGTTCATATTTGAATGAATATTATGTTCTATAACTTGCAGTCGAGGCATAAGGCACGTGCAGACCTACAAAGTATGCAAACTGAGAAGGTATGGAGCTGTCTAAAAAATTCTTTTTGTTAGGTCAACAATAGTCTATGGCATTGGTTGGCTTATGAAAGTTTGACAATACCAGTCTTCATAAATGATCTTTGTCTGTATGAAGTTAACATCAGGGGTCATCTTTATTTCCTAATACATATTAATTGATAAAAAATGCCAAACTACTTGGCATTGACTATTCCCCTTGTTAAATACAAAAACAATCAGTTATGAGACTCTGTAAGATGTCCACCTTGTGGTTTCTTCTTCTGATTTTGCAGCTTCTGAGGTTAAGTGACATGCAAAGCCAACCAGAGTCCCAACTCAAGTTTATAATAGAAGCTTGGTCACAGGTTAGCTTTATTCTTGTAGCACTAATGTAATTGTAAGTGGCAAGATGCTATTTATAGTTTTGGTATAGTGTCAATCTTCTTCCTAAGATGTATTAGCATTTCAATATGCAGATTGTGGAGTGCAGGCGGGTATTAAAGTGGACATATGCCTATGGTTATTACCTTCCAGAGCAAGAACATGCCAAGAGACAGTTCTTTGAGTATTTGCAAGGTTCATACTAGATTCTTTTTTAATGTACCCTTGGATGGCAAAGTCTTGGAATGGGAAGTTTTTACCCACACAGTCCTGATCCCCTGATTTTTTAATATTGAACCACTCCTGGACCATATAAAAACTGATTGTATCCATTCTTAACCATCCACTTTGATATGAATAGTCTATGAGATACATGTAATATTATTAAAATATGCTTTAGTCATGTTTGCAAAATTTATAGGAAATTACCTACATGAAAATATTGTGATTGGTTTTTTCATGGGGCCAGGGTGAGTAGGGATGAAGCAGGATGGGTAATACCTTCTTCACCAAGTCCTGATTGGTTTTTGAAAATTGTAACCCGACTCTACCCTATTCCTTGGTCAAAGATGGTCAAACTCGATGCAAATGGGCCTGATTGGACCAATGTACCATGAGTCCTGTTTGAAGTTGCATCTTAGCTGTGGATTACATGCATTTTATTACTAAAATCCTCATGATCCATTCTCAGGTGAAGCTGAGTCTGGGTTAGAACGCCTTCATCAATGTGCAGAGAAGGAACTCCAAGTCTATCTTGATGCCGAAGGTCCTATGAGCGATTTTAATGACTTCCGTACAAAGTTAGCTGGGTTGACCAGGTAGCTTCATCCCACATATCTCGAAAAAGGTTATTTAGGGGGCCAAAATCATATATGAAATATTTCAAGGGTTTATTTGGTTTCTCACAATTGATGTGTGGAAACCAGAAATGGAGGCCCCTCATGTCAGGTCTGGTCAGAGGTGACACCACCCCTGAAAAATTAAAGGGATGATTTGGTCTACCTAAATATTAGTGTTTGTAAGGTTTTTGCCCGTAGCTCAGTAGGCGACCTTTATAATATGGTGTCTTTGGGAACAAAGGACGTTTGTTTTTCTATTTGGCTGATTTTTAGTTGTATTTTATTCAACCTTTTCATAGCTGTGTGAAAATAACTGACTAAGCTTGTAAATTAGTTGACAGCAGGGCTACCAGCGATGGAGAAAATTTTAAGCTTTGAAGTAGAAGTACAAAGCATCGTAGGGATGAAATAACCAAAGAAACTTCTGACTTGTGGCAATTAGCAAGAACAGCTTAGAGTTTAGATTGTCTTTTTAAAACGTAAGGATTGTTTTGGTTGTGTATAAGAAAATGAAAGATTTTGGTAGGTGCTATGATTCATGAAATAGAGATCTGTAGAGGTGCCACTGATGTAACTTAGTCTATCTTTATTAGTCAGTAAGCAGGGGAAGAAATTAGAAAGCGTAGATTCTGATTATAAAGATATGGCAAAGCCCTTTAGCAATATTTTTGTTGCACTAGGATGTTCAGTGAAGTTGTACAAAATTCTAGTTTATTTGTGAAAGGTTCAACAATGCCACCAATTTTCAGTTACGGCTTGTGTTTTTGGCTGTTGGGCAATGGTGGCTTTTGCACTGAATAACCTATATCCTTCCCTCAAATTTCTTTTTGATCTACTTCTGGCTTTATGTGATTATATCAACCAATAATTTGGAGATTTTGCAATTAACCCTAAAGGAGAGGGATGCAGCATTATTCTGTATTCAGAATGCAATTTTTTACTTTACTTTTGGATCTGTTGTCTTGATTTTAGGTTGTACAAATTTTTTTTTCTATAGACTATAGATCGATAACTAGTATTTTGTTAATTTAGCCATACAACATGATAGATTCACTTCCAACAGTGTTAATGATGCACAACTTTAAGTCAATTAACCTGTCAAATATACATATATTAGTTCTTTGCTCTCATTTTCTTGTTAAAAATTCTTAAAAACTCATCGTGACATTTGCTATTTAAGTGTTAGATTGGTTTGGGAAGCCTGAAGTTTGAGTATGACTTTTATGGTGCTATTGCGCTTTGGTTGTTATCATTTATCACATTAAATTTGGTGAATTGATGAATATTTTCTCTGTGATGCTCATTGCTCACTGCACTGGTTCGCTTGCAATAGATTATTTAGGTAACTGAGACTGTTGTATATAACATCAACCACCTCTGTATGACATTTAAACATTTTGAACTTTTGCTTCGTCTATGATATACTGAGATTTGGAAGTTTCTGTTGTCTAAAGTGGGACTGCTTCATTTTCAACCAATACTTGTCAACTGACTTACCAGCATTGCCTAACCAATTTGGTTTTGGTGATTTTTGTTTTGGTTATGCTAAGTTGGGATTCGTTGGCATCAAACCAATACTTGTCAAACGACTTTCCAACCTTACAAACTTCATTTGGAGTCATTGGCGTCTCATGCTTATGAACAAGTGGAACTTTCCAGATAGTGATTTTTAAACATATCTTTATGGACTTGTTTCATTGCAGTGTGAATTAGGTCTTAATGTGACAATGTACCTAATAAAAAAAAACAAGTTACCTGATTGTTGTAATGTCTCCTTGGTTGGACTTGGGTGGAGAAAGTTTGTCTACATATGCAAGGATCTGATTTAGATCTGACCTGTTGCAACCAATCATACACTTGTTGTCTTTAAGGCACTTTCCCATGCCAAAATTATTATTAAACAGACACTTCCAATTACTGTATGCATGGAGATGTTTCTTGTTCTCTTTTGTGTTCAGAAGACATCTTCTTTTCTCTGTTCAGAAGTCAGTTCTTAGATAATTAATAGAACTGATTTATGGACAAGCTGAATTCCTTTCTCTATGAATGGTTAAGAAGATTTACTTCTGTGCAAATTGAGCTTTGACATATGCACTTTGTAATTCACTAAAGTTCTTGATTTCTTGTTCTTTTTAGAATGAATATTGACAAGCTGAATTCCTTTCTCTGCCGATATGGCTTAGAAGATTTACTTCGATGCAATCAAGTCTTGACAGGTGCACTTTGTAATTACAGCAAAAATCCTTGATGTCTCATTCTTATAGAATGAGGATAGTGAAGTGCCCACAAAATCTGGAAGTTATTTGGCTGACTGAAATGCAAAATTTTCATCTTATACACATAACATTTGTGTTTCCCATCATTTTGCTACATACATAGTCAGGCTCTCCTCTCTAGCTACTGAATAGTATGCATTCACTCTTGCTTTAATTTGTTATTGGCAATTTGGAATATTGATTATGATCATTGGCACTATCTTCATTCATATTTATGTTTGTTCTGCGGCGTCAGTGTGACTAGGAACTATTTTGAGAATCTTGTTCGAGCCCTGGAGACTGGATTGAAGGATGTGGGTTCTTCCAGCAACCAAACCACATGCAGCAGGAGTTCAAGCTCCAAGATGTTGGACAACAAAAACAAGGGTGGAAAGATCAAAGCAGCTGGGACCAGCTGTGGATTAGGAGCTCCTAGCCGCAGCCTGGATGACAGCAATCTCTGGTCTTGCGACCGCTGCACCTACGCCAATCCCAGGTCCACTAGGTCATGCCAGATGTGCGAGTATCGCAGGTAGTAAAGTGCAGATACTCCTGCAATATGTGTAAAGTTTGCCCCTGAACCTGTTTCAGTGGCTTGTGTTGATAGAACACGCTCCTGTGATGCCAGCAAGAAGGTGTTTTATCATCATAGGTTATAACTTGCCATGGAAGAGGGGAAAGTAGCAGGCATGCCAAGAGAGAGAGAGAGAGATTACTGCTGGGCGTCATGTAATCGATATTTGTTCTCTGTTTGTATATATTAAAGTATTAAACAACTGTATGTTCTATGAAGCATAGTTCAGCATAGCCAGGTGTCCTTATGGTTGTTTTTGGCAATCTGTATTGAGATGTCACGAGCATTGGGATCTTATTTGCCAAATTGAATGCATATGATGCATCGCTCCTACCTTTCATACATATGCTCATTGTAACACCATGATACCAATCTGTAAATAATTTCAATTTCAGGTTATTGCTCATTGACATGCTTCTTTTGCTATATATAACCTCCTGCATCAAAATAATATTATTCAGGTGTTTTAGTAGCATTTCACACTGTTTCTTCGCCTTCTTTTGCAATTTGCAGAGCTCAACATTACCAAGATGAAGCCATCATTGCAGAATTTGCTAGGCCCAGCAGGAACTCAGAATAAGGATACAAAGATCTTACAATCAGGTATTCCTCTTTCTCAAATGAGAAGTTTGTTATTGAAAAGGTTGAATGGTTCACATTGGACACATGACAAATTATTTTTTATTCATTGAAACCAATTGTTTATACGTTGATAGGATGTCACAAGTCTTTAACAGTACATCATAAGGTTCTGCGTCTCAATTCTGTTGTTGTCATTTATATTCTATTCATAGATCCATGCAATCACTAATTTTCTTTTCCTACTTGCGTAGGTCTTTATTGATTTTGTAGTTAACTATATATATATGTTGCTTTCAAGTATGCAAAAGGAATAAGAATTTAACTGGATATATTAGTTTATTTCATTTAACATGAAGCCACAATTAGCAGTAGATATCACTTCCGTCATTCCCGTTAAATACAAGTAGCAATGGCTTAAACATTCACCACCCTTACAAGTCAGTGTAGTTGTTGTGCTATGTCTATTTTCCTGTCTGTCTGTTTGCATATCCGTACGTTTCGCCATTGGGAAACATGATTTGTTTCTTTACACCCATCGTATTCATACATCATCAACTAATATCTCAAATTGAGAACGTCATTGTTCGTCATGGTGTTAAATAGCTGCACTACACAATGCGTTCGGAGACGACAACACAAGAATGCACGCATGAGAGCCGAGAACAAGTGCACCTCTCGATGCGAAGAAAGACAATCCGATAAGAAGACGACGAACAACGTCGACTCGAAAAAGAATTCATTCGACTGCAATCAGAAGTTGTGCTGCAGGAACAAATCCTGCTGTGGTGATGCTGGTCCGATCTCTTCCTCCAAGCACCTCAAGCCATCCCCCGCTCCTCCGTTTCCCAGACTCCTCCCCTCCGAGTTCTTCCCTTCCGTGGCGTCGCCTTCCGATCTCCTCTGCGACGAGGTCACGCTGGGGAACGTGATCCATGAAGGTGCTCTGTACTCCAACAACTGGTCGTCGGCGTCGGTTGTGTCGTTCTCCGAGCACGACTGGTTCGAAGACCTCTGTGATCCCCTCTTGTGCAGCCGACTGCTCCCCAAGACCACCTCCGTCGGCAATATCGGCTGCTCGTTGCATGGGCTGCCCATCAGCAGCGCCAGAGCTCTCTCCAAGGCCGTCGTCACCTTGTCCATCGACGGCCGGTCCTTCCCCCGCATCCTGACGCACTTGCACGCCGTGGCGGCGATCTTCTTCAGAGCCTCCGGTTCGGCAGGAGGTTTCAGCGCCGGATCCAGGATGGCCGAAACGTCACCAGCCTTGATCAGCGGAACCGCCCATTCCACGATGTTTCCTTCTTCGAACTGCATGTCGATCGCCTTTCTACCGCTCAAGATCTCCAGAAGCAGAACCCCGAAGCTGTACACATCCGATTTGGTGGTCAAGTAATGAAGCCTGTAGTATTCGGGGTCGAGGTAGCCAAGAGTACCGGCCGGAGGCTCGGACAAGGGCGAGCTGCTGTCCGCCGGCCCCAACAAGGACAGACCAAAATCTGCAACTCGAGCGTTGTGCTCCTCGTCGATGAGAATGTTGGACGACTTGATGTCCCTGTGGATCACAGGCGGGCAAGCGTACCCATGCAGGTATTCGATCCCCCTCGCAGCTTGGACGGCAATGGTGACCCTGCGAACCCAGTCCAGCCGCCGTTTCAGGCTTGCATCCTTGCCATGAAGGTGCTGGTACAAGGATCCATGGGCCATGAACTCGTACACCAGCAGCCTCTCGCCACCTTCCTCGCAGTACCCAAGAAGGTTGAGCAAGTGCGCGTGGTTCAGCCTGGAGAGCAGGTCGAGCTCGGTGTGGAATTCCTTGGTGTTCTTCTTCACGTCCGACGCTTTGGTGGCTCTCTTCACTGCAACCACCGTCCCATCTCTCAACACCCCTTTGAAGACACACGAGAAGCTGCCCTTCCCCACGAGGGATTCCTCGCCGAATCCGCCGGTCGCCTTCTCCAGCTCTTCGTAGGTGAACATCTGTGCTCTCCTAATCTTTAGCTCCTCCAGGTCCGGTCGCACCTTCACCGGCTCCTTGTGGAACGAGTATGCTCTGGTCTTCAACGCAGTCAGGTCAGGCTCCGAACACGAGCAGCTCCGTAGCCGGCGGCGAACGCAGAGGCACGCGACCAAAGATACCGAGCTCGCGAAGACGATGGCGAAGGCGAGCTCCGCGACGAAGATCGGCATCTGGAGAGAAAGCAGCCCGTGGCTCCGGGGCCTCTGCTCTGACGAGCAGGAGGAGGAGCAATCCGCCGAGGCACAGCTGGAACAGTTGAACTCACAACCACGGTCGGACGTCGAGTTGCAGGGCGTAGACTGATACGTCCCTTCGGGACAGCCGACGCTGCACGGCAAGCAAACTCTGGAATTCGCTGGCTTGCAGACTTTGCCCCCCAAGCTTGCATGGATGAACTCGTAGTATCCCGGGCCGCAAGGATTGGAGGCGCAGATCCCAGGGGAGACCGCCATCGGTATCGACCAGGGGCCGCCTGTGCCCCAGCACTGCGGCCGAAGTGACGCCTCCGCAATCACACCGCAGGTGAAGTAGTCCCCTGCTGCGAGCTCGTACACCCTCGTATCCTTGGGTGGGGGCACGCTGTTCTGAAGCTTGAAGCCCCAGCACACCACCTTGCGATCTAAGCTCTTGATGCCGCAAGCATGGAACCTGCCGCCGGCGACCGACACCATGGGATCCATGGGAACCATGTTGACATCTCCCTGGCCTAAGATGTCCGAAGAAGACTGCTGCATTTCCAAGCTCCTTCCCCAGCAGAAGACCTGGGAGTTCTGCAGAACCCCGCAGACATGGAATCCACCAGCCGAAATGGATCGGAACCTCAGGTTCCTCGGAGTGAGGCTGATGACGCTGCTCCCGGTCTCGTCGCCCCAGCAGAAGGCCGTCCGGTTGCCGGCAAACATCCCACAGTTGAACACCGAGCCGGCAGTGATCGACACAATGGGGCCACTGAGCTCGTGGGAGGCGGTCATGTTGTAGCCCCAGCAGTCAATCAAGGAGACGCCTCTTTGCTCTCCTTTGCTCGGCCTGCGGAGGGCACAGAGGTGGTCATCACCGGCGCTGATCTCCGAGTAGGCCGCGCCTTCCACCATGGGCTGCGGCACCCCCATCTTGACGTAGATGTTGCTCCCCCAGCAGTAGGGTTGGTAGGCATCCAAAAGGAGCCCACAGACGAATCCATCACCGGCCGTGAGACCCAGGAGGGGGAGCCTAATAGGAGCACCATAGACTATGGAAGCATCAGCACCGAAGCAGGAGACCATGTGAGACCCATCTGAGCTTAGACCACAGAAGACTGGTCCATTCTCACCGTAAGAGACAGCGATGGAGGACATTGATCCGAGGCCGGAGACCCCCACATAAATTGAGCCACAAACGATCACCAAAACTGCAGCTTGAACGAGAAATCCAGGCCTAACGCTGTTCATCTTTCTCACGCTCCGCTCTACCTTACCAAAAATCAAGCCTTTATCACCCAAAAGGATGACCAGAACAGCTTTGAATCATTTGCAGAGTGAGAATTACACTGGAGAGAAGAGACCGCAGGTCAATCACACATTCCTTCTCTTTGATCATCCAGAAAACAAAGAGGACTCGGTAGAAAAGCACGGTGATCTCAGAACAGAGATGGAACTTGATCCGAACCTGGAATCCGGAACTTGTGATGGGAAGATAACTTGCAAGATGAAGCCTTTTACCCAGAAACCCACTGAGAATCTACGAACGGTCTGAGCCAAAAAAATGGAAGGAAGCCGTGCGGTGCATCCACAACCAGCACAAAACCTCAGCTTTCCTTGCATTCAACTCCACGCAAAATAACTTCTCCCCCTTCACAAAAGACTCGCAATAACGAGGCAGTGGAGAAAGAAGCTGTTGAGAAGGGAACCTACCCCATGAGCAGTTAGTTCCCTTGGTGGCTCCTCCTGCTCTTTGGTCTGGAGCTTTGCTGTGGGCAACATCACAGGGGGTAAGCTGGAAAGAAACAAGCTGAAACACGTACAGAGAAGGAGAGGTAATGCGGATGGGAGCATTGAATGCAATAAATTTTAGTTCCTGGTTGGAGGCATGTGTAGGTGAGAATTTTAATGAGAAGTAAATGCAATATGTTTCCATGCCTGGATCTCTGCACACTTGTCCATCAATTCAAATTCCTCTGCAAGATGAGTGCCTCCTTCCTCTCCTTTGCTTCGCTTTGCTATCTGCATCACTGGCTGTGTTTGTCTGAATAGGATTCTTGTTTTAGCAGCACCTGTGTGGGTAGTAGTAGTAGACAAGCAGTGCCAAGTGAACAGTGAAAGATATATCTACACAGGCTAGTGTTGCTAATTAATGGTGGTCTTAGTTCATTTGTATTGACAAAAAATAAATTATATGCTTGGAAAAACTACTCATGCTTGATATCCAATCAATATGATGGGTCTGATGTCCAAGGTTGCTTATTTGCCTTTCCATTGGCAGCATGAAGAACTCCTCATTAAAATTTTTGCCATATGTAATATTTGATTAACACTAGCAAAACTAGTTAGGATTTTGAAAGAGTAACACCATTTTGTTGATAGAAGAGTTGTTTTGGTTCAATCCATGGCAGTAATATTTTGCCTCAAACAATTTTAACTTTAATGTTCCTTTTGTGCATTAATGCTGGCATGACTGTTAAAATGTTAGGGCATTTTAAGGCAATTGGTCTTTTTTAGTTTGTTTTTATTCTTTTTGTTTTCTCTTTTGAAATTTCCTTTCTTCACTGCCTACTATTGTCTTTTACTGAGAAGCTCATATATTGCTTATTTCTTTTCTAATTCTCTGCAAGTTAAAATGAAAGAAGTAGATTCTTCCACTGGCTGTCTTGTGACTTTGACTGCACATAGCGACTTACAACTGCAAAGAACAGATCTTACAGGGTTCTATTTCTACACTGCTATCTCTTTTTCTGATACAATCTCTTTTACAAGGAAACCCACCTGTATCAGAATTGTGTTCATTGTATACAGAAAGCTCATGGAATTTCCATAAGACCAAGATAAAGATTAAATATCAATACAATTCAAAAAGCTTAAACTATTAAATCATGGATCAAACCCAATATATATATTACCTGATTATTTTCATTCCGTAGGAATATGAGATCATTATATAGTCATGTTTCAATCTTTAACTCATATGCATGTGGATCTCTTCCTTTCATTTGCAAGAGTTAGTTATAGTTTGATCTATTTTATGACTTCAATTTTTAATCACTCATTGTCAACCTTTCAGATCTTTCTGTCAACCTTGGCTTTAAAACCATATTAAGATTTTAAGATCGGATGAGTCCAAATCATATTGGTCATGACTAACATCCTTGAGATTGAACACCAATGCAACTTATGAAATCGTGAGTCAAACCTAATGTCGCTGGACTATTCAATCCTTAACGATGCCAAACATACTCATTAACCCTCATTCAATCTTAATTCTCACATAAATATTTTCCTTATAATTATTATAAAGTTACCTAGTTTTTTTTTCCGCAATTAAAAGCTCTGCAGATCTCTGTCATGAACTATTGCTGGAAATAAGATCACTTTCCAATAGAAATGAATCTTATTCCTAATGCTTTAGAAAAATATGTAAAGGACAAAAATCTGACAAGAACTTATAGATACACTCTTCCTCCTCTTGTAATATATCATGTGTATTTTCATTGATAATACATGGAATATTTGAAGAGAGCTTTTTTGAAGATTCAAATGTGAGTAGATTGTGACCCCATAATCATATTTAACCTGCTGCCAACAAAGAATTTGTCCTTTGTTCAATTCTGAATATTCTGATCAGTTTCTTGTCACTCAGTTGTTCTTAAGTGTCAGCACATCTTAGTTTCCACTGCAGTTGAATGGTTTTTTGTTTTCACATTGTTCCCCCAGAAAACTCTGCTGATGTTTAATATGCCTCATTCTTTAATGTGCAACAGCTACAATCCCCTAAATCACTGGAGCACTGACTTGGAGGATCTTGAGATCATCATTCGAAGATACAAGATTTGCAGAACAAATCTTTGCCTTCCTGGCTGTAGCTGATACAGATGCCAAGCTCAGGCACATCAACAAAAGATCATTCTGTATGTCCATGTCAAGTGTCAACCTGCACAGGGCAAGTCCGTTCAAACAAAGAAGCAAATTGTTTTCTTCCTCCCAGTTTAGCTTTCAACATAATTCCCCAAAGGCAGCACCCACACACTTGCAAATTGTTCTTGGAGACAAGAGTAGATCCTCTGTTATTGTCATCTACTGAATGGGGACACTTCATGATGAGCTCGAGCAACAAAAGCAAACAAGCAATAAAGCTGGTAGGTGGATATTTCTTACAGGTTGCTCATTTCTTGGTCCATCAAAAAGTCCTTTTCCTTATTGTTTATGAAGGAATAAGGTAGCAATGAGTACATCTACTTTGAATTGTTTTGGGTATTCTTAATCTGTTGTTAAATTATAATAACAATGGATCTTTTTTTCTCTTTTATATTCACATATATTATTTGATTACTTGAACTGGTTTCGAGTACCTCTTTTTCTCCACCTTGCTCTTCTTTATGTGAACAGATACAATCTTATGATACATTATGCTTTGTTTCTTTTCTCCTTTACACAATGAATAGATAGCACTCAATGTTGGTTAGAAAAGGTAAGAGTGTCTCATGATGGCCATAATTATGGCTTTCATTTCTCCTCAACTTTATTGAGTCGTGTGTTCTACCCCCCAACTAAAAAGTCACCAATACACCTCCTGCAAAAAAATCAGCCAAGGCTAGTTTCCCTTTGTCACAGACACATTAAAGTTCTCCAAAATTTTAGTTTAGTTGTGTATCGCAATGTTGTAACATCTTGAGCTTATAAGAAAGCTAATTATATATTATCTTATTTATCTTATGTAATTAATTATTTTTATTATTTTAATTTTTATATTTTTTAAAATTATATTGATATCTCTATACTTACGAAAGTGAAACATTTAATTTTATTTCTCCTTACACTATCAAAAATATTATATGTGATCAATGATAAACCGAAATAAGGCAGAATCATCACGGTTATATTGATGATAGAGGATAATATGTAATTAGTCCACTTATACGGTTTGAATGGTATATTAACAATAACTTGAATTTAAATAATCGAGTATAATAAAATTATTGAGTCGATAATTATAATCAATCAAATCGTGTTGAATATAATAATATAATTATAGATCGACTCTACGTAGAGAAGAAAACATCCTCTTAAAACATGACTTAAACAAAGATAGAGATGTTGGTCAAAAAAGAGACTAAGCTCAATAACACCCACAAAATATTCTATGCAAAAAAAAATCATTCTAATCCCTTCTAATCATACAATTTAAGAATAGCTAAAATATACTTAATAATTTTATCCTCCATATATAAGTTATTATATCATAGATAACAAAGATTAACTAAGTCAAGTGTCCTCTCGGAGGATGCTGAGAATTTGGACTTTTGTTTTTAATAGTACCTTTGACAAAAAAAATATTTTAATAAATAAATATGTGATTATAATTTATAAAGATAAATAAAAGGAAATTCAATTTTTTTAGGGACATATATATATAATTATAATTATGCGGTTTTTCCATAAATTATGTTGCATTCAACTTGTTAGGTACACACAGTCTCGTTGGCCATTTCCATTACTCAATCGCCACCGACACAGCTCACTTCCAGTTCGGCATGACAGCCCCGTCTCCCAGGGGCAATCTCCGCCCCACGATGCCGCACCCACCGCATCATCCACCGTCCGATCTGATCCATTAATTTACGCCGCAGGGACACCGCAACCGCCGGCACGCTTCCCTCCCTCCTGTCGTCACGTGCCGGCCGGCCCGACGACAGCCCCGGGGACGGCGCCGGCCCCACGTGACGCCACCGCCTCTCCACGTGGAACCTTTCCCGCCATCGGATCTTGATCCAGCGGCCCTTCTCGGCCGTCCTTCCCCCGCTCTCCCGGATCCGTTTCCAACGGTCGTCTCGGCCTTCTTTATTTCGATTCCCCGCTCCCCCACCCCCCACCCCTCTCGACGCGCTTTCGTAAAGTATTCGACGTCCAAAACAAGCGTGTGGGGACGACAGCAGAGAGAGAGAGAGAGAGAGAGAGAGAGAGAGAGAGAAGGCTTTAAGACCTCCGTTGGCTCTTCTTCGTCGCCTTCAATCCCTCTCCATCGCACAATTGATTGGGCACATGGAGCTAACACCGATGCCAGCTATCTTTGTAGGGATCTTCCTCATCTGTCACCACCTTAATAGCCGTCTCCTTCGTTTCCTCCCTGAGAAGCTGATCTCCCTGCTCTTGCCTTTTTCTTGGCACCCTCCCACGAGCAAGGACGGCTTGTCGCCCCCTGCCACCGCTCTCTCCTCCATCGCCTCCTTCAGATCTCCATCGTTCGGTCCCAAGGCGTCAGCCAGGGTGATGGACCCGTCGGAGTTGAAGCGGGTCTTCCAGATGTTCGACCGCAATGGCGACGGACGCATCACGAAGACAGAGCTCAGCGACTCGCTCGAGAACCTGGGGATATACATCCCCGAGGCGGAGCTGGCGTCGATGATCGAGAAGATCGACGTCAACGGGGACGGGTGCGTGGACATGGACGAGTTCGGGGCGCTCTACCGGAGCATCATGGACGAGCGCGACGAGGAGGAGGACATGCGGGAGGCCTTCAACGTGTTCGACCAGAACGGGGACGGGTACATCTCCGTGGAGGAGCTGCGGTCCGTGCTCGTCTCCCTCGGCGTCAAGCAAGGCAGGACCGCGGAGGACTGCCGGATGATGATCAACAAGGTGGACGTCGACGGCGACGGGAGAGTGGACTTTAAGGAGTTCAAGCAGATGATGAAAGGTGGAGGCTTCGCGGCCCTCAGTTAGTAGCTACCGATGCCTGTGGCTGCTATGGACAGAAGATACATAGGGTTGTAGATACTGATGAGGAAATTGAGGTCGGGTGGGGGAAGAAGAATCCTCGGAGAAGGAAGACAAGGAAGGACTCGATCTACGTGACATGCGCACGGTTGATTTGGTGCTGAAGAGTCTCAGACTTTATCTAGCTTTTCTTTTAATCGGTTTAATAACGTTAATCTTCTTCTTCTTCTTCTTCTTCTTCTTCTTCTTCTTCTGAGCAATGAAATGCTTGGTAGGTTTGGGGTCTTTTGATTCTTTTCCGAGTTCTCTACACTCACTCGTCACGGCCAAAGTGCTCTGTCGACGACTACTGACTGTATATGTTTCGGAGATGGAAGAAATGCATGTCTTCCCTGCACTTTGACCTCATCATCCATGGCTTAACATGAACAGTAAGTACACTGTGAAGTAACAATGTATGCAGATCAAATTTCACTCTGTAGCAGCACCACTTCCTTGATTCCAAATACCAAATCTGAATCCATGCAGTATCCAACCCAACATAAATGTGTTTTTTTGTTATATTTTTATTTCCCAACTAATAAGAATATCTATTCAAAACAAATAAAATTATAAATTAGTTTTTTGAATATTTATTTCTTATTTATAGTGTTTTATATGAACTTATAATTTTATACGAAGGTATCAAAATTATTATAATTGGACTGATTCACCTTATAAAGTGTTTTAATGCAAAAGATAAAATTTTTTTTTATCTTTAATGATATAGAAAAAAAAGTCGATACTTTTCGTTACATTTAGAAGGTCACAAAATAATTATCATTTTTGGAAAAAAAATTTATATTTATACTTTTTGTTACATCTCCCTTTCTTCATAAATATTTTGTTTTTCGTCTTCCATGTTCTTCACACAATTTGGTCCGATCTGAATCGAATCAAAATAAATAAAAATTGAATCAGAACAATGATTCATAAAGAAGAAGAATTCACAGTAATATTGAGAAAGAAGAAGTCCAAGTTTTTTTTAGATGGGACATCCTTTTCGATTTAATTTGAATCAAATTGGGGCTTTTCGAACCCCAAAAAATAAAATAAATAAATTAATTAAAATTTTTATTCTCTTGGAAAAGATAATATTGAGGATGTGAATAATTACTCTTACGTTTAGCTGAGCCGAAACGACGCAACGCTACTTGGGCTCGATGGAACTGAATCGAACCAAGATGAACCGGAGAATTACTTCGAACCGAACCATCGTATCAGACAGACCACATGCATCGATCCGAGTCAACACTTCCCTAATACGGCTCAAATCAGTTTAATTGAGTTTGAGTCGAACCCGAATTGATTGATTCGGTTCAGCTAACTCGACTTATTAAAGCCGCTCGCGCCGCGCGCCGCGTGTGACCCCTCCGTTAACGGTTTAACCTAGTCGTCGCGGCCGATTCCGTTTTCGCGCGTGCAAGTCGGCGGTGCCTCCGTCTCCCTCTCCACCTTCCGCCGGTGCCCGGTCCTCGCGCTCCCTGCCGCGTTGTATCCACCAGAGGTACCCTTCTCTCTCTCTCTCTCTCTCCCTGAAGGCAAGTGGTACAGCCCCCTTCCCCCCGATCTCGGCTTCTCCCATACAGAGTCACCTTCCCTCTCCCCCGTTCGGCCGCCCCTCCCCCTCTCTCTCGCGGGGCTCTCAACAGCACCGACGACCGACGGTGCCCGCTCCCCTCTCCTCTTCTTCTTTCCTTCTCTGCTTCTTCCCCAGCTCCTTCCCTTGCTCCCAGCCAGCTTTCTCCTCTCCTTGCTTCTTTCTCTCCCCGACAGTCCCCATGGGTCATCGAAATGCGTTACTTAATTTGTCACTGCTAAGGTGCCTAGGATTTTAAATTATCACTGCTAGAATTCTTGTCGAAATACTTGGACTTTTGATGTTAATTTTCTTTTTTTGTTATTTCTGTTATTATTAATGCTTTATAGATGGGTAAATGAATGTAATTTGATGATTTAGTGATGATAAAATTCATGTTTTGTCTAGTAGCTTTGCTTGGGCAAACTACT